TCTGAGATGAATAGCATCGGCCCCGAAACTTCGGGACGAGCTCATCTCTGCGGGACCCCACTGACCACGGGCACAAATAGCTTCACATCCAAAAACCCCGCTGAGGAGGCTAGCCGGCCACTGAAGTGCCGTGTGAAAGGCAATCAGCAGGCTGATAGGCACACAAATCGAACAGCTTCCAAAAGTTCACCATATACGTGGTGCACAAAATGCCGTTTTTGGGGTGGAGTATAGCCTGAAATTCAAAGCACAAAGAGGGTTATTACTTTTACCGCTAGTAGCTGTGGAACATATTTTTTCTTCAAAAACTTACGGCGCCAATTAGCAACAAACACGAAGCACTAGTAATCTGTGTTGTTTTATCTGTACATACAATACATAAAATACATACAATAGTATACATGTCTGTCCATTTGCACATCGGTATAGGTGCACTGGGGCGAAGGTTAAGCATCATTTAGAGAATTCACCGAGCGCGAATCAAATTTTGTGGAGCTATGCAATGAAATCACAACTACGCATTGCTAACTTCATGAATCAATGAAAATTGCTTCCAAATATCAAGGGGCTCATTTCTGCTAAGTGCTAGGCATGTCTTATGTAATATGTATCGCCCTCGCCTTGCCCCTCACCCTCTCTCTCTCCCCCCCGCTCAGCAGCTTCGCCACGGCTTGAGCAGCCATCGGCCATAAGTCCCCAACCTCAAGTTTAAATCTGCCAGTGTATTGCAAAGACAACATTCAATAATTATTAAATGTATTGCGGGCTTATGAAGTATTTGATGAGATATGGATAAGAGATTACACCTTTTTACGCCCAACTGAGGCGGCAGTCCATATATTTCGGTAACAGTGCAGGCGATTTCGACAGTCTGTCTATGCCGAACTGTCGTAAATCGGTTGCACTTTTACTGAACTGTGTGCAATTTGCCTATATTTGGCTGTAATAAGGTGCAATCGGCTAGTTTTGAAATGGCCCGAGTTTTGATATGGCCGTGAGGAAAAAAGTGGGTTGTATTGATACTGCCCGGTCGGTATTACAACTACCCGGCCCGTATTAATACAGACCGTCGAGGCGGTCCGCATTAATGCTGTCAGTATCAATGACCCGTATCAATACGGTCAGTATTAATTAATACGGGCGAGTTTTCAAACGGGGCGTAACACATACACGACGACGACAGGTTTTATCAGCAGAGTCCCTCCCAAGGACACAGCAGTAATCTCTGACTTCTAAGAGGCTGTCTGTTTTTATCATGAGGCGGCAGCCTGCACAGCATTCACCACATTAGGCTTGCACCGGCCGTCCCGGTGCCACCGCGGTGGCTCTTCTGCATATCTCGGTCGCTGTTCAGTGAGTGGTGAGCCGGGCGCCAGCGAGGACACCAGGAGGCACAGGTGAGGAAGCTCAGAGGTGGCGCAGCGCCGCTTTCTTGGCCTGGCCTGGACGGTCTGCGAACGTGGCCCATTCGTTTATGGCTGGAGAGGCAGAATGTGCATCGTATTTTTCTGCTTTAATCATAATTCACGATATAGTCTTTCTGCTTACGAGCATGCTCGACAAATTATATCTTTAACATTTATAATGTATTATTATTAGTTACGCTAATATGCCTCTTTATCGTATCGCCGATGAAGTGTTAAACCGAACACGAAACGTCCGATATATGCTGAGTTTTTATTTAATTTCAACGAAAGCTGAGTACTATATTTAAGAATTATATGTAAACTGAACCGCAATGACCGCTGCCGTAGGTTAACAGGAATTGATAACCAATTTTAAGGTGCTAGGTCAACCAGTGACCCCTGAGGTCAGGTTAAGTGCCTTATGGTACGGCTCCGTTTTTGGTGAATAACTTCGCCAAAAACGGCCGCAGAGACGCGATTTTGGCAGCATCGTGTTCGCCTCGCTCAGGCGCGTCGAATGATATACTTTTTGTTTGGGTGAGGTCAATTTAGGGTGTTGACCTCGGGTCACGGTCAGGTCACGAACTTGGTTGAAGGAGGTCATATCACATGCCATTCGATTCGGCAGATCTTCCTGAGTCCATTGGTGGCTTTCCCGACTCGCTGGCTCAATTTGATCGGAAGTAATTGACGAAAAACTAATATGAGCCTAATGACGTCATAAATGACGTCACGCAAGGTCATCATTGCAAAAGTGACGCATCGAACCTTGCAAAGAGTGCGTGAAATCACGATTCTGTGTGCTTGAGATAGTTGGAGATCGTTCCCGGCGCCAGAATAGCAGTTTTCATTTTTCCCCATTGACTTATAATGCCAATGGTGAGGTCACGAAGATGACCTGACCTCATATGACCTTTAGGGAAAATCTGAGATATATAAGTTGTGAGACACTCAATGGTTACTAGGTCTTGCAAGTTTCATTTCCCTGTGAAAGATCCTCTGGCAGTGAGGGCGTTGCGAAGTTGCGATATCTGAAGACCGTGCAGAGGTTCACTTGACTTCATAGGTCATTGACTTGACCTGACCGAAAATGTGGTTGATGTCAAAACTAGATCTGGCTTGAATCAAAGTTCAGGTATGCCAAGTCTTAGCTCTCTATCGCTGGCGTGTTCGGGAGCTATCGCAAAAAAAACCTATGGGGGGGGGGGGGGCGGCATCCGACCCCCTCGGCCCGCGAGGGTTAACCCATCCAATGTCAATGAAAACGAATTGTCAATTCATAAGCGTTGAAAGCGGGCATGCTATGAAAAAAAAAATAGCGGGCTTTGAATCTCATCACGACCTCAGACTTCTCAGAGATGACTGTGCGCGACCCCTGTTTCATGCCGATAATATGATTACATGAAATGACTGACTGCTAAATGAATCTAAACTTGATGAGAAAAATGACAGTTATGAAATATGAATAAAAACATTGATATCAACTGACGAAGGAGTTGCATTTGCTTCAAGTTAAAATGGATTCGAATTAGAAAGACAGTGGGACATGGAGAACACATACCTACTCACATATGTGGGCTTATTATACACATGTAGGTGACCCTTTATGCGCGTGCCACGTGCAAAACGAAGAGGTGTCAGTTTTGTAATTGTTGCAATATCTCGGTAACTACTTGGCCGATTGCGCTGAAAGTTGGCATGTAGGTAGGCACCCGCTAGGCAATGCATATCCATGTGCCAGAGTTGGGGTGCTGCTGCAGGTGCGCACGTGCAGGGGTCGTTTCCAGATCTCGAGAACGGCTCGACCGATTGCGCTCAAATTTGGTACACGGTTAGGGACCAGCTAGTAGGGTGCCATGCACAAGTCAGTTGGGACCCATTTTGCACGTGCGCACGTGCAGGGTGCCGCTCCCAGATCTCGAGAACGGCTGGGCCGATTGTGCTCAAATTTGGCACATCGCTAGAGACCGGTCAGTAGGGTGCCGTGCACAAGTCAGTTGGAGGTACCCCCTCGAAATTTCGCACGTGCAAGACTCATCCCCTCGCTCGCTCCGTTAGTCGCCCCAAAAGGCGCTATACTGGTAATTCAGTGTTTGGGAGTATTTATAATGGCTTTCGTCCAAAAGCGGCGCATTTCAGTTTTCTCCCTTTGACTTATAATGGGGAGGTCGCAAAATTGACCTGACCTTAGGTCATCGGTATCAAAATTCTGAGGGATACATTTTGTACATGCTATTGCTCTAAGTAATCGTTGAAAGTTTCAAAGCGATCGGTCACTCAGTGTAGCTATGGCAGACATTGAAACTTTTGATGAGGTGAGGTCACGTGACTTGTTGACCTGACCTTGAATGACCTTGGTCTGAAATTTTCACAGCATTTGTAGAATTGATGCATGATAAGATGTGCCTAAAACGGCGGCGCTTTGAGATATTCGCGAAAAACAGAAGAGGGGGGGGGGGGGGTGTTCAAACACCTCCCACCAGGGCGCGGGTTGATAAATTAACCCTATTCCTGGCGGGCTCCGCCGGGACAAGAAACTGGCGGGGGGGCCGATTCGGCCCCCCCCCCTGAGATCTCGAGAACGAAGCAAGATAGCGACAAGCGGTAAACGGCATCGGATACGCACGGCCAAGATCTACAATTTTTACAAAGGTCATTTTCAGGTCAGGTCAAAGATGACGTCACAGGGGTCGAAAAAGTCAAAATGGCGGCACTAGATATGGAGAGAGTTTTTCTCGAATAACTTTCGAATTAGTCAAGATAGGAACAAACTAAGGGCATCATCGTGATCCTCTCGTCAATCCGCATCGAATGATATATATGTTGACCTCGAAAGGTCAAGGTCAAAGGTTGACCTCAGGTCACGTGACCTCGAGGTCATCATGTATATCATTCGATGCGTCTTGACGAGCTGAACACAATGAGACCATCCACGCGTCTGTATCTTGTTCCTGTACGGAGTTATTGGCCAAAAACCTTTGGTGACCTTTGATGACGTCACATGACCTCACAGCTGCCCAACAGCAAAACAGACCTCAAGGTAGTGAAGGTTGATCGTATATGAAGTCATGTATGGTATATGGGGCCATTCCGACCCGTTTTAGTGGTAAAAACAGGGAGTTGATTTTTCCCCCATTGACTTATAATGGGGAGGTCGCGAAATTGACCTGACCTTAGGTCACCGATATCAAAATTCCGAGATATACAAATTGCACATACTGGTCCCCTCACTAAACCCTGAAGAGAAGAAATTGATCGGTCAAAAACTCTAGCTCTGGCGTGATTGCAAACTTTTCTGAGGTAGCGTCACCAAACCGCCTCTGGTGACCTGACCTGAGGTCAGATCAACTCAAAATTTTCAGACATGTTGCGTAGAAGCCTTTTAGGAAAAGTCAGAAAATTTGAGCTTCCTAGCTCAACGCGTTTGGGAGATATAACCAAAAAACCTCAGGGGGGGCTCCTGAGGCCCCCCCCCCCGCCAGGAATAGGGTTAATAGCTAGGCCTGGCCTAATGGAAAACGAGCTCATTGTTAACAAATTAATGCGATGTTTTAGAAATAATCCTGCTTTAAGCGCTTACTTCGTTTTCAGAATACATAGTGGGAGGAAGGAGCACAAATTAAGGATGGCCGGTGATGATGCTGACGGAAGAAACAAATCAGAGGACACCAAACGAGGACTGCTTCTGCAGGTGGGATCATTCGGCCATTTCATGTACCTAATCTATTAGACTCAATATTATCTAATCAATACTTACTGTATGTATTGTATTGCATTGCATTTTACTGTGCTGCATAGTACACTTACCAGCTCATCCGCACATTATGACTGCTGATTAAGTTGAGCTCGAGTCATGTGCCAGCGATTTATAATCTTCTGTCGGTGATTATTCTGCTCCTCTGCCGACGGGTGGTGACCGCTCTGTTCCCCTGTTTGCCTGTCGGTGACCGCTCTGTTCCCCTGTCGGTGACCGCTCTGTTCGCCTGTCGGTGACCGTTCTGTTCCCCTGTCGGTGACCGCTCTGTTCCCCTGTCGCTGACTGCCAGTGGCGGAGTCAGGGGGGGGGGGGAAATGGGCATTTGCCCCTCCCAAACGGCATAATTTTAACATTACGCCTATGGACGAGGCATGGAAAGAATCGATAAATTGTTATGGTTTGCCCCCCAAAAAACTCTGAGCTGGATCCGCCTCTGCTGACTGCTATGTTCCTCTGTAGTTGACCGCTCTGTTCTCCTCTGCGGCAGGTGTTGACTGCTCTGAGTCTGTTCCCCCGTTCCCCTGTCGATGACCGCCCTGTTCTACCTCCACTGTCGGTAGGTGGTGACCGCTGTGTTTTTCTGTCGGCAGGTGGTGACCGCTCTGTGTTTTTCTGTCGGCAGGTGGTGACCGCTGTGTTTTTCTGTCGGCAGTTGGTGACCGCTCTGTGTTTTTCTGTCGGCAGGTGGTGACCGCTCTGTGTTTCTCTGTCGGCAGGTGGTGACCGCCCTGTTCTACCTCCACTGTCGGCAGGTGGTGACCGCTCTGTGTTTCTCTGTCGGCAGGTTGTGACCGCTCTGTGTTTCTCTGTCGGCAGGTTTTGACCGCTCTGTGTTTTTCTGTCGGCAGGTTGTGACCGCTCTGTGTTTCACTGTCGGCAGGTTGTGACCGCTCTGTGTTTTTCTGTCGGCAGGTTGTGACCGCTCTGTGTTTCTCTGTCGGCAGGTGGTGACCGCTCTGTGTTTCTCTGTCGGCAGGTGGTGACCGCTCTGTGTTTTCTGTCGGCAGGTTGTGACCGCTCTGTGTTTTCTGTCGGCAGGTTGTGACCGCTCTGGGTTTTTCTGTCGGCAGGTTGTGACCGCTCTGGCTCTCTCCGTGGTCGGCTTCAATATCGGCGCGTGCATGTCTTTTTCTGGCATATTCGCCGATCAGATGACATCTGCTGGGGCGCGACCCGCACTGAGCCGGTCGCAGATCTCCTGGGTAGCCTCTGCGTACGCCATCGGCAACATCCCGGGCTTCCTGCTGTCTAGCTACGCCAACCCGCGGCTGGGCACAATCCGCCTCGTGCAGCTGTGCGCCCCGGTCTTGGCCGGCGGCTGGCTGCTGCTGGCGCTCGGCAACAGCTTCTGGACAATGCTGGCCGGACGCGCGCTGACCGGTATCGGCGTGGGGACCGCCTTCGGACCCACCATCACACATATCGGTGAAATATCGTCTGTCAACGTTCGCGGAGCACTCTCAGTGTTCCTGAACGTGATGATTAGTGCCGGTATGCTCGCCATTTTCTTATGCGGATGGCAGCTTGACTGGCGACATACGTGTCTAGTAGTGGGCATCGGACCTGTCGTTGTGATGTTTCTGGTCACACTCATGCTTCCCCGCTCTGCCAAATGGCTCATCTCAAAAGGGCATCCGGTGGAGGAGGCACAACGCTCGCTCCGTTTCTACCATGGTCATGATTACGATGTGGATAGGGAAATCCGTTCTATTAGAGATTCGCTCGGAGATCAGCACAAGTGTGACGCGTCGCTACTCGACGTTTTGAAATTACTGAAACACAGGCGGTACTCACAGCCATTCTGCATTGTTCTTGTATCGTTTATATTTTTCATGAGCTCTGGTGGATTCACAACTGCCGCCTTTGCTCCAGTGGTGTTCAAACAGGTCGGGGCGATCGATAACCCGTACATGGGCTCAATCTTTGTGGGCGTCCTAAGAGTGACCGCCTCTGTCCTGAGCAGTCCCGTGATGTCCAAATGTGAGCGGAGTACCCTGATGATGACGAACGGCGCTGTCGGCGGCGCGGCCTGTGTCGTGGCCGGCTGTTTCCTGTTCTACAGCGCCGCGCTGGCCGACTACGCCTGGGTGTCTCTGGTGTCGATTCTGGTGATCGTGGGCGCCATGTCGTTCGGCATCGGCGTGCTCACCAACGTGCTGCTGGCCGAGCTGCTGCCCAACGCCGTGCGAGCCGAGCTCGGCGGCATAGTGCTGCTGCTGGCGGCCGTGGTCAACTTTGGCATGCTGTACGCCTTCCCAGCGCTGATAGCTCTGCTCGGTATGTGTAGCACGCTACATCTTGAACATTTAACGTAGTATCTTTTCGGCACGGCTCGGTCCGGCAGTCCCTCTCCCTCGCAGTCCGGCCACACGCCTAGCTCGCTTTCCCACACCCAATTCCCCCCCCCCCCCAGTTCCCCTAATCTATCACTGTCCGCACAGAATGGGCAGCCGTTAAACTCCCATTAAGACGCGCGCTTTTGGAGACAGCTACCGCAGGATGAACGATTCGAACCCCAACAAGTAACAGCTGGATCAGTAACATTGTCAACAGCTCATGGACCCACGCCGAGGACAGATAACGGCTGGGAGCGCTGGATCAGTAAGATATGTCAACAGATCATGGAGCAGTGTCAAGGATGGATGCCGGCTGGAGCACACAGCCTCCTTTGTCGGGTACATCAGCCCAGGGTGAGTGACCCTGGCAAAACAACCGGGTGACCGACCTCACAATGGCCTCATGAGGTAGTTCCAGAGATCTCCGCAGAGGAAGAAGGCGCTGACTTACGGCCACACCCGGGCCAGTGGGCGGAGCAAGAGTGACGTCACAAGGGGCGTTGCCGGCAGACGAAACGGAAGGAAACAAAAGTTTGAATAAAATGAAATTGAAGAATCAAAATTAAAACTCGAAAATCACAAACCTTTCGGGGATTGTTTTATGCCAGCGATTACTAAAATGATAAAGCACTCAACACGAAGACGATTCGACGGCCAAAAATTGCAGGCACAGAGGAGCAAGGTGACTAAACAGGACAGAGGGCGCCATCTTACGGCCCCACCCACCAGAAGAAGGCAGAGGAAGATGACGTCGCAAGGGCGTGGCAGTCACCCCTCCCCCCCCCAACTATAAAAGGGTGCGCCACCCAACCAGAGGAGAATCACAGTCGAGCAGCCGAGAGTCACAGTCCACAGCTGGAGCCGGAGACGCCATCTGGGAGCCGCCGTCAGTCCGGGTCACCCGCGAGAAGCCTCTTCAGTTCGAGTGACCAGAGCCGGAGGACAACCGCCGACGCTTGAGACCACACTGAGAAGCGGAAGCGCAGAGAACTCCAGAATGTGAGTGTTGTTGAAAAGTCTGCTCAATCCCAATCCTTGCCCCCCCCCCTCCGCCCAGCGTGCCGTGCCCGTGACGACTGCCAAACATTTTCGGTTACCATAAAATGCACTCTCAATTGGAATTGGAAAACTTAAATTACTTTGAACTTATTGGTCCAGACACCCTAGTAGCATGTTAGGATCTGAATTTCGAGGTCATGTCAGAGTCGCCAGCAAACCGTTATTGTCAGTGGGAGTTCACGATTAGGCCAAGAGCGAGATCCGAAAATTTACATAAGTAGCTCAGTGTCACGAACGCTGAAATTGATGACAGGATGCGTGACAACGTTGAAATGTCTTTGTCTTCGGTCAAGATGGTTCGTTCGATTTATTATGGGCGATGGCCAGGTGCGTTTTGAGGTTGGAACGTTTGTGAAATAAAGGGTTTAGATTCGTGCTGTACTCACTAAAAGTTGCATTGCGAAATCATTGGTAATATTGCTGTAATCTAAAATGGAAGCTAAAATGGAAGTCGAAATCAATTATAGAACAGGTAAATACGTTTGAAAGGAATGTAATGTTTTAAGGTGGCGACTGATTCATGCGATCGATCTATGAATATGGCTATGAATTATGATTTGCGACAGATACGAATGCTTGAGCGTACGGCGGAATTTTTCCTGTTACTTAGGTGCATAGTTGCGAGCAGTGGTTTGAGGTTGACGGTTTGACACTTTGCGACTTTAGATGGTCACTTTGCGTCATTGAAATTGCGAAATGTCGAGTAACAGGTAGATGTAGAAATGTTTGTGGTTAGAACTAATATGCGACTAATATAGGTACCGATCGTTGTGCTTTGTAGAATAAATACTAGAAAGGACCAGCTTTGTTGGGAAACGATCAAATGGGACAGGAGTAAAAAAAAAAAAAAAACTTACGTGGAATGGAGCTGATGAGATGTCGAACAGGGAGATATCGAAGCGATATTTTACCAGATTCACACTCACTGACACAGCCGTTGAATCTCCCGGCCCGAAGAGACCGCACACACCAGTACTGCACCGCGAGTGATGACGCGCCCATCGCGGCGCGGCCTTGACAACTGTCGACTGTCGACGCGGCGCCGGCCGGCGGCCGTCGTAATCGTCGTTCCCGACACGGGCGTTGAGCCGCCAGAGGGCGCGAGAAGCAGCCACAACAGGGGCAGTGGGTTAGCCGTAATTGGGGCGCGGGCGGTAGGTGAAGGTCACGTATAGGAGTCTGGTTAGTTGCGGAAAGTTGCAACGGGATAAGAACGTAGACAGTTAAATATGATATGCTATATGATATCTAGGACTGCACTTCGTTTGATGCGCATTGTTTACTGCTAATAGGATGATTTAAATTAGATTCCCTATGAAAGGCTAGGGACCCTATGACAATATTCTGGCACTCTATAAAGATAATTTGTTTAGGTAACTAGTAGCCCATCAGAAGCTATCGAACGAGTTTCAAGGAGGCATTTCCGTTTGAGCATTCAGTAATTCACTATGGTACGGTGGATCACAACCAGACGGCAGATCGATGCGTGTTAATTGGTTCTAGATCATATGTCTGATTAAATCAAGAGCGGTTCAAGGTCTGCTAGGATTGTATACGAGAACTGATGATAAGGTTCACGCGTGTAGCAGCAATTAGGACTTGAGATTACGATTAGATTTGGTTAAATTATGCGTTTCTGCTATTCGCGTTCTTGCGAGTTAGCGCCAATAATTACTCCAACAATATTGGCACAGGGCATTGTGAGGCACAGACGGCTTGTTTGCCCGCCTCCTATGGCGTAACGTTTACCAGCATGACTGTATGAGACACAGATGCACTTCTCGAAACCCACGTCCAGACCGGAATAATAAGAGGGACACACCGTCACGTACGCAGGGCATATGCACGTTTTCCGCCAGTGGTACCGGCCACTGTTAATTTTCCCGCTTAGGTAACACTGGGTGAGAAGGCAGTGAGAGGTTTCTACGGCAGGGGGGAAGGGGAAGATTGGCACAGTATGCAGTGGAGAGTAAGTTATGCCAAAGGCAAGAAGCCGAAGGTCAGGGGTGAGTCACCCAAAGGGCGGATAAGGCGAGCCGTAGTGTCCCGGATAAGTCCTCATACTTATTTCGTAAAGGTACTCTAATCGGTACTGGACAGCCTCAGGGGAGGGAAGAATGTACTCCAGGACACGTAAGGCCTTGAATAGTAAATCCCATGGTTAAGGATAGTTCCAGGATATGAACTAGGGTCCCTGGGTCGTGAACGGGAATGTTACACGCGGACCGGAAGAGGGCATAGGTAATCTCTCCCGGTAGAGAGATAAGTCGGATATAAATCGTGTATGTGTGTACCATAAGTCTATCGGTCGTGTAGTGAATCCCATAAATTAGTAGGGTGGATATTTATGCAATTATTCTGGACGGCCCTGCGGTAAGTATCTTTGTCGCCGGTTAGCGGAGCATGCATATGGATTTCGGAAAGAGACATTTATCTCGCCGGGGAGATCGCTATTAGTCAGGCACCTAACGCCATCGGAGGGAATTCGAGGGGCGCTAAATAAATTTGGGGTGAATATATGACGAACGAACGTAGAGAGAGGATGAGAGTGAGAATGGTAAAGGATGAATCTTAGGATAAGGCCGATGGGAGTTTAGCGAAGCTCAGTTAGGACAGTCAAACTAATTAATCTCGAGGGCAACTTAAAACTAGCAACGCTAATACGAATTAAGTGGGCAATTTTCTTAATGGGAAGGCCAGTGATATAGGAATGGGTGACTGGACGAATGATCACATTCAATTTATCAATGTAATTACCACCCATATGTTTGGCAGTGGTCATCGGGACTTCGAATGCCCTGTCCTTCACCTGCCCAACTGTGCCGCAAACCCAGCTGATCGGATACCTCTATCCCTAATCCGAGCAGTGAAGAAGCATCTCGTGCATCATGGTCTATACAATGAACAGAATCATCAAGCCTCTAAATTAAAAAGCATCTTCCATCAGATGTATTTGTATGCAAGGTGGATCTCTAGACATCTCCCTCAGGTGGATCTCAACACCATCTCAAGATCTCTATCAGGTGGATCTATATCTACATCTATCTCAGGATCTCATCACTATCTGGATCTCTCTCTAGATCTATCTCGGGATCTTTTCCAAGACTCTCAAGCTCCCCTGTTCTACCAGTTCAACTATCGAGTTCCTTCCAGCAGCGAATCTCTTTTCTGCTACACCGCCGAACAGCAGTGGACCGCGCTGTTTGATGAACCTCAAGATGCAGCTTTTTTATTTCTGTACTTTTCCTTCCCTTCATTCCCTTGCTACAAATGGCGCCCAAAACGTGGGGATTTGATAATTCTCAAATTGTGAAGCTGGTAGACTGGCACAAGCCGCCGAACCCGAAGTTGATGAATTGAAAGTCAACCGTATGGAGAAGAGGAAGAAGTTGAAGAATAGAGCAGGTGTTCGAAATACCGGCAGCAGTGGAAATGAGCGTGCTGCAGGGGTCGATATGAAGAAAGAGGATGAGCTAAAGAAAGCTGTGTGAAGATGATGAAGCTTATGATGGTGGCTGATGACAGGGAAGTTGAAGAATTGAGCAGGTGTTCGAAATACTGACAGCAGTGGAAATAAACGTGCTGCAGGGGTCGACGTGAAGGAAGAGGATGAGCTAAAGAAAGATGTGTGAAGATGATGAAGCTTATGATGGTGGCTGATGAGAGGAAGCGGTCTTACGAATACTGAAAAGGACATAGAAGAAGTTGTTGAAGATAAGATAAGGAAATGAAGCTGTCTCATGAACAAAGGATCAGACTAATACAGAAGACAGGCCGAAAATGAAACTTGACAATTGTTTGCATCAGCATATCAATTCTTCTACGTTCTGCTGTACAACAAGTCCAAGTCTCGGTCAGCTGCTGTATTGCAAAGGAGAGCTCGAACTTTCTAGAGTATTGAGGATAAAAGGACAGCAATATCAAAAGCAGAAGAGGAAGAAGAACAGGCGAAATCCTCGTGTTGTACTGAATCAAAATCAAACACGGTCGTCTTCACAACACAGCCAAGGCGATTATCATGTTGGTGAACGAGGAGAGGGTGCCAGGATGCTGCAAGACCAACTGCCAAACGATCCATTCAGATGGGCTGCTGCAGAGATCACCCACCTGGGCTGCTGCGACGGCGGTCACCTGGTCCGCCGAAAGGTCGCTACCTGAGCTGCCACGGAGGTCACCAGTGCTGCCACGGGGATGCATTGCCCTCGCGTGCTGCCTCGGAGGTCACTCACCTGAGCGGCCGCGGAAGTCGCCTACCTGAGCTGCCACGGAGGTTGTCACCGGGTCTGCCACGAAGGTCACCTACCCGGGCTGCCATGGAGGTCACCCACTTGAGCTGCCGCGGAAGTCGCATACCTGAGCTGCCACGGATGTCATCTGTGCTGCCACGGAGGATGCATTGCCCTCGCGTGCTGCCGCGGGGGTCACTCACATGAGCTGCCGCGGAAGTCGCCTACCTGAGCTACCACGGAGGCTGTCACCGGGTCTGCCACGAGGGTCACCTACCTGGGCTGCCACGGAAGTCGCCTACCTGAGCTACAACGGAGGCTGTCACGGGTCTCCCACGATGGTCACCCAACCGGGCTGCCACGGGGATGCGTTGCCCTCGCGTGCTGCCTCGGGGGTCACCCACCTGAGCTGCCATGGAGGTCGCTCACCTGAGCTGCCACGGAGCCTGCCACCCGGGCGGCCACAGAGGTCGCGGCAGGGCCGGCCATGGAGGTCGCCTACCCGGACTGCCACAGAGGTGTCATCCACCTGGGCTGCCACGTAGGCTGCCCACACGGGCCGCCGTGCAAGCTGCCCACCCGGGCTGCCACGGAACCCGCCGTCCGGGCTGCTGTGGAATCTTCCCACCCTGGCTGCCGTGGAGGCCGCCCCACCCAGGCTGCCACCCGGGCTGCCGTGAAGGCTGCCCACCCGGGCTGCCATGGAGGCCGCCACCCGAACTGCTGTTGAGGCCGCCCACCTGGGCTGCCATGGCAGCCTTCACCCTCCTGAGAAGCCACTTACCGAACGGCCACCGACGACATCGGGCTAACCAAAGTGGTTGGTGCCCGTGACCCGGATCTGGTGAACGACAAACTGAGGTGGGGACGAGGAACAACAGGTGCGTGTGTGTACTGTACTAGGTATACGATGTCATGTTGTAGGCGTTGCTGAAGATCAGATGATTGTGTAGATTTAGATGAGTAAGGGGTATGACTTTTCTTCGTATGAGTTGCGAGGACGCAACTAGGGTTGTTTGGACTGAAGATGTAGCACGCTACATCTTGAACATTTAACGTAGTATCTTTTCGGCACGGCTCGGTCCGGCAGTCCCTCTCCCTCGCAGTCCGGCCACACGCCTAGCTCGCTTTCCCACACCCAATTCCCCCCCCCCCCAGTTCCCCTAATCTATCACTGTCCGCACAGAATGGGCAGCCGTTAAACTCCCATTAAGACGCGCGCTTTTGGAGACAGCTACCGCAGGATGAACGATTCGAACCCCAACAAGTAACAGCTGGATCAGTAACATTGTCAACAGCTCATGGACCCACGCCGAGGACAGATAACGGCTGGGAGCGCTGGATCAGTAAGATATGTCAACAGATCATGGAGCAGTGTCAAGGATGGATGCCGGCTGGAGCACACAGCCTCCTTTGTCGGGTACATCAGCCCAGGGTGAGTGACCCTGGCAAAACAACCGGGTGACCGACCTCACAATGGCCTCATGAGGTAGTTCCAGAGATCTCCGCAGAGGAAGAAGGCGCTGACTTACGGCCACACCCGGGCCAGTGGGCGGAGCAAGAGTGACGTCACAAGGGGCGTTGCCGGCAGACGAAACGGAAGGAAACA